TCAAGTCAATGCACATTTCCTAATTATTTACTCTTTGTTTTCTTTTTTTTATAAATTCAACTAGTCAACCACTAACAAAAATTTTACATTTAGACATATATTTATATGATTTTCCCACTTTACTTTCAGATGTCTTCTGTTCTTTTCTTTTTTTACTACAACATTAAGTATCCTAGTTTATAATGCTAAACTGTCATTCTCGTTTGGCGGTTCTTCGGCCGCACCATGAATTGAAATTTGCCATTGCTTATCTTTATCCGTTTTTGTTGTTGCTTTAGTTGCTATGACAGGAAATCCTCTGAATCTAAGCCCTCCTCTGGTGGATTTTTCTTAATGCAATCTCGCACGCCATTCAAAATGATGGTAATCCGCCGATCGAGAGCCGCTAAATGCGGTTCCCAGAGCACAGGCCGCACCGGATCGACGGACATAGAATCGCGCAATAGCTGCGACAGCGGCTTGGGACCATTGTGAAATCTGTTATGAAGAGAAATGAGACAAATTTTGAATAAACAATTTATGCTAATACTAAATTTTTCCTGCAGCTCCGCCTGCGCGAAATTCGGTTTAACATTTTGATTTAAAATATAGTAAAATAGAAAACCAATTACATCTATCACCGAAAATAAAAAAATATTCAACAATTTTATTGAGCTTGAGGTCGTTTTTAGTGAAAAATTATTGCTACAAAGCCAGTGTCTACCCACTGAGCTAAGTTCACCATGTAAACTGTTGTTGCTTTTTTCACATTCTCATATGCCAACCCAACAACGATCAAAAGCAAGTATTCTGCGGTCTTAAGCTCAATAACAGAACGAAAAATTACACTGAAGATGGCACAACGCCGAAACCGGTATGTCTGCAAACCAAACTTGACAAGGGATGACGGAAATTTGTTGCAAAATAAATCCCAATAACATTGTTGAATATGATTTGTTATCAGGCCAAAAAATAGCAAAAATAAAATAAAAAACTTTATTTTAAAAATTTGCCTATTGTGTCTAGGTTCCAGAACATGGTTAATGTGTCGAATTTTAGTATAAAAAAAAACTTACATTCCGTAGCTAGTCTTTATATTACTAATATACATATGTATGTGACTGGACCCATTTCAAATCACGCAGGCAGTCCGATGGTATATCGAGAATTAACTTCAGATTGAAACGTGTTTTTCTTCTTGAAAAATAAACGATCACGTATCTTTTAAATTTTCATAGCATAACTTTTGCAATTTTTACGAATTTTTTACGATTTTGTCGAAAAAAAAACATAATTTTGTGGCATTTTTTTAACCTCGTAGTTTCTTTAATTTTTAAGTTATTTGGCTGCTGCAACGGTTATTTTACCCCATTTTTTGTACTTTTTTAAAATTGATCATCAAAACTGAAAAAATTGATATACGATAAAATAAAACGATTTTATGAAAAAAACAAAACAAATTTTTTTCTCAAAAAGGCCACCTTTGTTTTTCTTCAAATTTACAGGGTATTTTCCACTTGCCATAAAAATTTCATAGGAGAAAACAAATTATTCTCATTTTTTTTACATAAATAGCACCACTTAAATACAACAATTTTTAAGATGTCTAGTTATTCCTTGAACGAGTGTTTTAAATTTTTGACACTTTTTTATAAGGTTTAAAAAAAATGCCACAAAATTATATTTATTTTTTTCTTTTTGACAAAATCTTAAAAAATTCATAAAAACTGAAAAAATGAAAATTTAAAAAAATACGTGTTCATTTAATTTTTAAGTAGAACCACACATTTAATCTGAAGTTAATTCTCGATATACAATCGGACTGCCTGCGTGATTTTAAATGGATCCTGTCATGTACATTTTTTTTTGTTATTTTTAGTGTGCCTAATTAAAAGCTTTTAGCTAAACTTTTCGTTTTTTTCCCTTGCAAATTAGTTAAATCTTTTTATATAGATTTATTTTACTTTATATTTTTTTAAATTTATTTATTTAGTTTTCTGGATTTTTATTGTTCTTTTATCTTATTTAGTTCTACTTTATTTTATTTTAATTCGTTTTATTTTAGTTATTCCGATATACCTATGCACATATGTCCTTTATATTTCATTTCATTTACTTACTCCAATATCCTCGTAAGTGTCGATGTGCGTATCATGCAACACTGCAGCAGTGGCGCCAAAATTGTTAATTCATCATGGAAAGCTTTGCCAAAGCCGCGGCCATGATCAAGATGCAGCGTAAATGTGTCATTGCCGAATATTCTGGAATAAATTAGAAAAAATGGTTATGATTAATTTTTAACTATTTTTTGATATACATAAAGAAAACCTGAATATGATATTTTGAAAGAGAGCCTTGTTTGATCTTTCTATGAAAATAAGCGGAACCAAAATTTTTAAAGAAAATTTTAACTTTCAAATAAGTCCATCTTCAATTTCTTAAAGTTCCGTAAATATTCCCATTAATTTTTTGTCAAATACTCCAAGAATCGCACCATCAGGACGGTCATGTTGGCAAGAGCGATTGTTTGTTCAAGGAAGACATTATTGTTGGTGGTAATTCTGGTTCCTAAGTGAACGAAGTGCTCCACAGCCTCAAAATCATAGCTACCAACTTTCATGTGCCTAGTAAGGTTGTTCAAAAATTTTCCGTGTTTCTAAAAATCGGTTATTTTAATTTGAATTGAATTGAATTGAATTTGAATAATTTTTTTAATTTAGGTGTTGCGTAATTGTTTTTTTTTTTTCATTTGAACCGAAAACTCTGATTTACATTCCCCAGCAGTGTAACATAATTATTTTGTATATCTACGAGATAAGATTTAAATTTTATGGCGTACCAAAAACGCCAAAGTGACTAGTGCAAAAACCATTAACTAATTTAATTTTTTTTTTTGCATACAACAATCACAAAATATTCAATAAAAAAGTGAATTTCGGAATTTTTTCTTAGTTATGGCCTTTTTAAACGAATATTGTATTTTTATTTCAAAAATATTGTACGTAATTTTTTATTTAAATATTATGTGTCTTCACACAATTTTTTCTTATATATTTTGTTTGTGTAACACTATTTTACACAGACAAAATACATTAGAAAAAATTACCGAACACCGAGTTACCTAATATCGAAACACCGAGTTATCGAGTACCAAGCTTCGATGTGAAGACCCATATTATTTTACAAGTATTTGTTAACATCTCTGCGCGTAACACATCTAGCAATACTTGGTTTGATGGGAACTTTTGGTATGTTGTTCAGAACAAAAAAGTAAGACGGTGAAAATACTCAGCCTTCTCCTAATTATTCCGAAGCTATTTTCCGTATCATGAGCAAGCTTCTTTCAAATCGAAATTGATCCAAAACGATTTGTGCATAAAGGTCGCTCGATAAAAGCTGGGCAATTCGACACTTTACAAAGCAGCGTATGCCGGTGTTTTACGTGGGTACCTGCCGCCGACTGCCTAAAAGTATGTTTACGTATAAAAATAATCTCAATCAAAGCTCGTTTTTTAATAACCCCGTTTACACAGACAAATCTCATATTATTAGCCGTCAAATTTGTTGTGCTTGTTATTCTCACATCTCAAGGAAAAGTTATGTGTTACCATGGGCGTAGCCAGGTAGGGGCAGGGGGTTCTCGAGCCCCCCCTAACTTTCAAATTTTCCTTATATATATATAAAATAGTACCCTGAAATGCCAGCTTAANAACACCCCCAGCCCCCCCTCCCCCCCTAAATTTCATTCTGTGCTACGCCGATGTGTGTTACCGTATCCACTTTTTTCTGCTATATTAAGCAATTTAAATAAACCTTAACTCAATATTTTATTATAAATATCTTTACGAACCTCTTTTCCTTGCTAGCGTCCATTTTTGGTTACTTTTACATTTGGCATTTCTCCTCTTCTTCACAAAAATAATCGATAAAACTAGGTTGGACACCGAAAAGCTATCGGTTTAATCTGAGGTTATTTTATAATTACAGATTAACGAGAGACGAATTTGGTATGGCTAATCTCTTCCTCAAATTATAGATTAGGGAGTTTAGCTCGAAAATGAGGATAATCTACTTAAATATATGTAGACTTAGTATAAATCCACGGCTCTCAAAAACGCAGCGGTTCAAATTGATGCGTTGATCAGAGTCCCGAAAACGCAAGCAATATCGATACCAATTGGCAGTGCGGGATGGACACACTCACCAACCACCTTGGTAAGGTTCGAGGCCTATTTAAACCTCTGCCGTACTTTACATGCGATATCTAGTTGCAATGCACTCCAAATAGAGCCAACAGCAGGTCGCGTTTGCTAATTAATGAGTTGATTCGAAGGGTGGGCTTTAGTATTCAGCCGCGCCTTTTGTTTTCAGAAAACCAGGTGGAATTTACAAATGAAACTTGGTCTAAAACACGTATAACTAAAAAATATAAACAATATAATTGTTTATAAGTTATTTGTTGTCAAAATTTCTTAAGTCGTTCCACTTGATTTCCTTATCGAAAAGTGCATTTGTCACATACTTTCAAATATATATATACATAACACTCTACCTAATAGTTTACACGCTTTTATTTTATTTTATTTTATCTTGCATATAAATCACTTTAATCCAACTTTTATTAACTTGTAAATTGCATTACATTGCACCCATATTTACAATCTCAGTCGGAAAAGTAGTAATGCAATGTTTCTTATGCGTTTTCGATTATATTACTGCTAACTGTGTAACCAGCATTCTAATGTATTCAAAAAGTTCAAAAAATGTTCATATTAAAACACATTCATTTCTCGATACTAGGTAATGCAAAATGGAATTCTGCACTTTTCTTAGCACATCGCCCTGGGAGTAAAATGCATTTTCGATTGTGAAAATGGGTATTTTACTGAGTAAAATATATTTCGATTAAAGTCGGCAAAAACTAAACTCATACATATGTATGTAGTACCTTAGTAATGGGACCTGAGGAAGGGGCGGCTGGTACTATAGGGCCTAAGACTGCAAATCCGCCACTGCACAAGGATAGGCCTACGCACTACTAATACTTGAAGTCTGCTAAAATTTAGCATATTTGAGCTAAATTCTGCTCATGGACGGCCCCTAACTTTTATTTCTTTATTTTTTTTTTTTGGCAATTCAAAGTTTGTTCGAGTAAATAACTTCCGCCAATTTTAAGCCTTTATTTGAGCAAATTACTACAACTGTTTTGTACCGTAAAATGTAGAACTCCGTTGAGAGCATTTTCCATAATTGCACTCCTTTATGCCTTGTCGATTACCAAAATGCAAATGCAAGCGAACACATTGTGCGCTTTTGAACTCGACTTTGCATAATTACCGGCTTATACAGCCTATTCACATACTTACGAAGGATTAGCACAATGCATGGTGTATTTGCAACTCTTCTGCATAATAACACACTTACCCACTTTGATTGTTGAACTATTGAAGATTTATAAAGCTATGAGCGTTCAACGTAATTTTCCAGTATAACAAGCAATTCGATAAGTATACAAAAAGGTACTCGAGAGTTAGTTATAAGTGAAATTAAGCTATTCCCAACACAAAAGCACCGCCAACAAAGTGCTTATAGCTTTTTTTGTTGTTATTGTCGATTTGAAGAGGCTCAGAAAAGTCCGTTTAACAGCATTTGAAAACAATATTGGATTTTCCACTCAAATAGGCTGAAACAGCTTGATAAAGGAAAGCTGCTTTCCGCCAATGTCGCATATTAGCTTGCCAAATCGCAGCATTCGGCGAACAAGCACAATGAGCTAGCATAAGCCAACTATTTAACTAAATAACTATCCCTTTTGCTGTACAATAGTTACATTGCAAATTTTGGTTGGTAAGGTGTGCTTAAATAATGGCGGTCGATGCAAATTAGTGTAGTTTGTAAGCCGCATACCTCATTACTAAAGCAATACGCTGCTGCGCACAGTATCGAGAACTCCCACTTTTGTGTAGAATATGGTTTATGAATAAATTTCACTTACATAAGTACATGCATATGTACTTGAATGGGTATGTACTTATATGTACATATGTAGGTATGCATTGGCCCGCATGGTACGCATTTGTTCGACTGCCTAATTTGCGCAGCTTATAGCTATTTAAACATGGATCTACGGATAAACATTAGACCGTATCACATTGTATGGGCCGAAGAAGTTCAATTTGTTCCAAGCGACTTTGAACCCTCACAGCATTTCAGGAAAGTAACCTTTTTTTGCGGCACCCTGTAAAAACAGCTAAATCAATTGTTTTCCAAAAATAATACATCAATGTAAAGGTATTAAGAAAGCTTACATTTGTATATTTAGACAGAACTATATCTCATAAACTTTGCAATTTACATTCATTTGTCTGTAAGCGCCTTTTCTTGTCATACCCCTACCGTATGTCTTCGTTGGTTACAACCTACCCGCCCCTAATGTGCTATAATATCACTTAGAGGTTCGTAAACAAACAAACAAATGGAAGAAGAATTTCAAAGGTTAAACGGTGATGCCAGTTTTTTGTAATTTTTAAATACCAGTGATCTTAAAACCAACGAAAGTTAGATGGCATTTAAATAACAATCCAAAATTAAACTTAGTGCCATTTAACTTTTTCATTTGAAATTGGCATTGTTAATTCTGCCAAGCAGATTTTGCAGAGCTGTCTCTTAAGATATCCCAGCCATCTAGGCATGTAGATGGGTCAATCCATGCAAAATTTACACTAAACATTTTTTCCCACTCAAATTATTTTTCTTTGCATTCTTTGGGTAAAACTATGATGAGTTTGGTTAAAATGCTTGCGCTAGAAATGCCACAAGTTTTCATTCTTGGCCTACATCAGATTTAACTTCTAAAAGGGTCTGAAAAGCGCTTTTAAGTGCACATTCAGACAGCTAAGCGGCCAACAAGGCCATAACAAATAGAATGATCAATTTCACGCTTGTCAAAAACTGTTCAATTCTTGGCATCGCGAAACACGGTAACACTTTGTTGGGTACCAGGTCACGATAAGTACAGCAAAGCTGTAAGATTTTGTAATCATGTTTCAAGATATTCTAACCAGTCATAACCATCTGTGCTCTGCAATGCATCAGATTGGCCTGACCATATTTGTGAAATGGCGCTTCTGTGTTGGAGACGAAGTTGGTCCAGTATTTTAGAGCCTTTCCTCTTTTATAACTGGCATGTCCAACTCGGGTATTTTTTGCGTGTTGCGCAGTGGATCTATTCGCTATCGATTCTTTCAAATTGTTCTGCGAA